AATATAAGAAAGCAGGGATGTAAAGCAGACACAGACATATAAATATAACTAGATACAAGGTACACATATAAATAACTGCATACATATCTATGTTTTTATATATATTTACACATATATATATATGTACACATTCATCCAAAAATGTAACTAGATACGCATTCATAATATCCCTATACAAATATCAGTCAGTGTATGTAAATATCCCTATACTTGTAACTATCCAAGTCTAAATCTACACATGCATAAACAGCACTAGATCAGGAGGGATTGCAGCTGCTGATGTTCCCAGGCTCTCCCTCGGTCTCCTCCTCCCGTGCAGAGCAGCTCTCCTGGACAGCGACAGCAGATGGGACATCTGGCAAGCAAAGGGAACACTGAGTCAGTCTGGGGACGTTTCCCTTGGCAGCAGCTGCACTTCCATCAGGGAAGAGGAAATCTCAGAGCCTCCCCAGGAGGGTCAGAAGGAAAAGCAGCCGAGTGGACCAGGCTGTGGTGAGCTGTTCACTTCCTTCAGGCATCCCAGTTGCTCTGAGGGAACTCCCTCATGTCACGTTATTGAACCACCTCTGCACTTACCAAGATGGTGGCCCCCAAATCAATCACTATTTATGTCTCCAGCTGCTTGCACCAATGACAGGGAATGTCCTCTAACAGTGCTGGGGCACAAAGTTACCTTCCACAGGTCATCTGACAGGGCCTTGTTCTTCCTGTGCTGCCTGTCTTTCTCCTTATCTTCCACTTGGAATTTTTACAGCACTTCTTTTTCTTTTCCTTTGATCAGTGCTAAAATGCATGTTTCTCTCCTAAGTTTCACTTCGTTCAGTGATCCTGTCAAGCCTCTTCTCAGAAGCTTTTATCATGGAATTGAGTGTTAATTTAAGCAATTTAGGTGATTTTCTGTGGGATTTATGCAAGTCTCCTGTTCATTGGGTACCACTTAGGAAGATACCAAGAGAAAAGGATGTTTCTACATGTCAGTTTACTAGTGGATTATTCATGGATAGAGAGAGTGATTAGCTGAACTTTACATCTACTCCTTACCTGAAAGTGCAACAGGTAACTTGGGGAGAAATTAAAGCCAGATCTCTCCTTCTATCAGCCTGTATTCAAATGTAAAGTAAATAGAGCAGTAAATAGACTAAATAAATAGTCACTAAAGTAAATAGAGCAGGGTGAGAATGTTCATGTTCCCTTCCTAAAGTGCCTTTTTAAGGTGTTCTTCAAGTAATGGAGATAAAATCTGGGTTGGCATTCCTAATTTCCAGACACTCATTGTCAGTTTCACTGACTCTGAAAACAGCAGAGATGTGCCCATAATAGCTTATCAATCCATTTGGGGATGTTTTAGGTTCAGCTTCTCTGAGGCTTTAGCTTTTTGGATCTCTAGGCAATGCTTCCAGGAATCTAAATGGCTTTCAGAAATTAAACTTTTCTCCTTTTTTCCTCAGTCTTTGCACTCGTGTGCACCAGAAACCTTCAGGGAATGGATTCCACTCAAGTACATCTCCAAGCTGAATCTCTCAGCTGTTTTTATCCTGGTGGCTTATGTGTCTCTTCTGCACAGTGCAATTTTAAAATCTTCATTCCTTTCTATCTCTGCCCTTCTTTTTCTGTTTTAGCTTGCAAATGCATGCAGATGTATGAGAAATTATACACTTAATTTCTGATGCATCACTTCCTGTCAGCAATTTCATTTTATCCTGTTCTGATGTTATGCTAGCCTCATATGTTTTATTCTAAGTGGACTCCTGTTTTCTTGAATGTGGAAGTTTTACAATGCAATGCTCTCATTCACCTGCTTTCATGAAACCCTTCATTAACATTAGCACAAGTAACTGTGTGGTTCACTTCTACTTTGTAGAAGATTTGGGAAACTCAAGTCCTGCTCAGCTACAAAAAACCATACATGGTGCTGGGTAATTCCCCTAAGAGCTTAAGTTAATGGTAAACAACTGCAGCTTATTCACTTCCCAGAAACTGGGAGAAAAGACATTGCAAATGTTGAAGAATGCATGCAGTGCAAGGTTGATGGGCATCCCTCAGTTATCCAGACAGACTGATGTCACTGGCAAAATTCCCTCTTTTCCAAAGGTTTTCATTTGCTTTGGCTGTACTTCATATGGCTGCAGGTCACATTTCCCTTGATTTAAGGAAGTATCTTGGCAGGTATTCTTGGTAATATATCTTGCTAATTCTGCCCTTGGAGGAATTACTCAGTTCTGCAGTCCTTATTACATGCCCTGTTCTAGAAGACTTTTATAATATTTTCCTTCTCTCTCTGTTTTCACACTTGTTCAACAAGGTTTTCTTTCAAAAAATATTAATCACGCTATCCCAAAGGATTAAAAAATGCTTGGGTATTTTTTCCCTAAGTATTTACAAAAGAAAAAAAAAATCTGCATACTTGCTGGATGTAAAACGCAAATAAACTTGAGAGTTCTCCCAAAAAGCTTTAAAAAAAACCCCATTTATTCTATAAAAACCAGAGTATTCATCTACAGAATACAAAAATGGGCACGTTCTAAAAGAGAAAATTTGTACAGTGATTCTGCACAGAACTATACGCTTTCAAGCTTTTTGCACTTCAGGGGCAGTGCCATTCTCTCAACTGTAATGCTCTGAGCATCTTCTGCTCACCATGGCAGCTTTCTGCTCTCCCCTGGTACAGATCACCCTCCCAGCAAAGGGGGAGTGCAGCCACCCCAACTCGCAGCCCCTTCCCACACAGCAAGAACCTGAAGGGGAGAGATGGCTTTCACCAGCTGCTGCGGGTTCTACTAGTGCCACCTCTCGGCTGCTGAAAGCCTGAATGTCTGTGTTGCAGTGTGTTAGTTTCTGAGTCAAATCTTCTGTTATCTTGTGGTACGTTCAAGTGCTCCCCGAGTTCCTACAGTTAGTTTCTCCCCTGTGTTATGCCCTCCTACCCAGGCGTCCCTCAAGGAATCCCCTCCCTCCTCACCAGATTTTTCCCTGTCTGTCAAGACAACCCGGCCCCTTTGGCCCATCCATCAGCCCAAACCCTACCCTTTGTTCCAGAAAGTTCCCTGTCCCTCACCCTAAGATCCAATCCCTATCCCAACCCTCTCTCCTCCCCTTGTTCTGATTTGTTGTAGCCCTTGAAACCACACCCTGAGAGTCGCTTATTGGTTACTATATGGTGTCCACCCTCCACTTTGAAAGATTTTAAAAACCCATGCACAGGGATGCTGGGAGCACTTTTTACTTCTGCTTGCCTTTGGGCTGTTCACTTTTGTCTTTCTCCCACCTCTCCTGATAAATTTGCTGTATTTTACACTGCAGAAGAGCCTCTTCTGCCTCCTTCAGTCGGTCCTCATCGATCCTCCAGGGCTCTGTACTCTTATGCAATTGACCTAGAGATTCTGGCTCAGGCAAAACCCTAGCCTAGCCAGTTCCTCACTCTTGCCATTGCTTCTGGAACATCACAGAGCTAGCCAGGGCTCCGGAGGCCAGTGACAGTCACCCATGCCCTGGCATGTCCCAGCTTCCAGAGCCGCACCTGCCAGGCCACAAGCCCCAGCCCTGGTCCCCACTGCCGGCCTCAGGGGCTCCTGGGCATCCTCACCCTGAGTGCAAAGGCAGCCACAGGAGCCCCCCAGGGCGCTCTGGATCCAGGCTGCAGACACCCTAAAGGCAGCACTGAAAGGGACATGGATGGGGACTGCAGCTGGATCTTGCAGTGCTCACCACTCCTACCTGCCCTCTGAGTGAACCCAAACCTCACCTGCTGCACCTTGAGCACATTTACCCTTTTTGCCCATCCTGGCACGCGTGGTGTTCCACCTGCTCTGCTAGCCTGGCCTTACTTTCTGTTTCCCAGCAGTCAACTTAATGGATACACTCATGAGAATTCTAGCACAACATTGGCTCTTCAGGAGTTCTTAGGCAAAAGCACTCCACTGATGACTAGTTTTTGCACAGAGGAGGAGGTACTGACAAGCAAAGGGCACAGGCAGGTTCTGGCATAAATCTCTGAGCCACAGGATTCCACACACTGCTGTTGCCAGCTGCTTTGCTCATATTTTTAGAGGCAGTTCTGGACAAAGGCTGCTGTTGACAGAGTAGGAAAATGTAGAGAAAGAAAGGTGCAGGACAAAAGCAAAAAATCTCAGGAGGGACAACGCTTAGAAATACAGAGCTCAACAGAAGTCCTGGGAGATGGTTCAATGGAAAATGGCACCAGCAGTGAGCAGAGCCCGAGGCTGCTCACTGCCACCCCAGGGGCTCCTCAGTCTCCTGCTGCTTTGTGTCTGATCCCTGCTGGGCTCTCTGTGCCCCTGCAGTAGATGCAGCCCTGCCTGGAAAAAGGGCTCCATGCTCTGGTGTTGCAGCTTGCTGCAGGCTACATTCTTAGCAGCACTGAAAGAAGAGGTGAAAGCAAGAGGCATTTTCTGTCCTGCCTGGAAACTCCTCTCCTTCAGTGCCACTGCCAGAGATCATCCCTGTGTCAGCTTGGCTCTGTGCCTGCTGCATCCTGGTCCCTGTGCCTTCCATCAGCTCCTGCACATCAGCACTCACTGTCTGTCCCCACATGATGAAGAGAGAGCTGTGTCAGAAGAGCAAAGATTGCATTTTCTTGGTCTTTCTAACAGCCAGAAGGAACATAAGTCCAAAGAACTTTGTTGTTTGTTCCTGGCCTCCTTTTAGATAACTCTTTTCTGCTTTAATGCAAAAGTCTCTTTTCCCATGTGGATGGAATGATGTGGAATTGGCAGTTGCTTCAGGCTGTCAGGCAGCATGGGAGTTTTCTCTTGTCTCTGCTGAGGATTTGGTGAATTTTCCATTGGTCACTTGGTGGTGTCACCATGGGCTGAGCTCAGCGGCCGACTCTGCTGCCCGCAGGGGATGCATTGGGACGCCAAGGCCCTCAGGGCTGGAATTCGGGGGAGGGCGGGCTCGGAGCGCGCGGAGGCTGGGCCCGTCAGGAGCTGCTGCTGCTGGCGCTCGCTGTGCTCAGCCCGCTTGGCCGAGCAGCCGCGGCCATGGGGACACAGGCGGGAGCTGTGGCCGAGGCCGGCAGGCGGCCCGGGCCGGCTCGCAGCTGCGAGGACGGCGGCAGCCCGTGCCCTGAGGCCGAGGCCGTGGCGGGCAGTTTGCGGGCAGGGCTTTTCCGAGCCGGCCGCAATGTGCTGCCTCCCGTGTGGGCCCGGCTGCGGCAGAGGCGGGCGGGAGCGCGGCGGGGCCGGCAGCGGCGGGCAGAGGCCGCAGAGAGCAGCAGCCCGGCCGGGCCCGCTGCGGAGCGGCAGGGAGCTGCCGGGCAGCCCTCGGCCGTGTCTGTGAGCACAGGGCCGGAGCAGAGGCAGGAGCCGCGGCAGGAGCCGGCCATAGCGGCAGCTGGCCGTGCCCAGGGCCGCAGCCGCAGCTCTCCCCTGCCGGCCACAGCAGCAGCCGCTCGCCTCCGAGGCTCCGGCGCTTGCCGAAGACGAGGGGCCCGGCCCCCAGCACGCCCTGGAGCCCGGCAGCGAGAGGAGCCGCCGGTGCCGCAAAGGCAGCGCAGAGGGCGCAGCTTGAGGAGGAGGACGTGAGGCTCGCTCTGGGCCGCGCTGGGGCAGCTCTGCCCTCTCGGCCTTCGCCTTGAGCCCTTTGCTTCTTTTCCATGAGCCCTGATGGCCGTCCTCGGCCAAGGGCCCCTGCAGCTCTTTCCAGGGGTGCAGGAAAAGCTACCTCAGTCACAGATTCGCAGAATCACTGCCTTTGAAGACAGGCACCTTCGAGATGATGGAGCCCAACCCATGCCCTAGCACCTCAGGCACCGAGTGCCACATCCAGTCTTCTTTTAAAGGCTTGCAGGGATGGTGAGTCCACCAGCTCCCTGCAGGGCTCTGTCCGAGGAAGAATCAAGATAACACTGGGGCCTTCTACCCCCCAGCACATGGAGCTCTGGAATTTGTCACTTACAATCTTGTGTAAGTGACACAAGCAGGATGGGGCAGCGAGCCGTGCTCCGTGCAGAGGCTGCCAGGGGCTGCCCAGAGAGCGCCCTGCTGCAGCCAGAGCCCTCCTGCCCTGGAGCCTGGGAGCAAAGGGCCAGGGCAGCCACCTCCTCCTCGTCCTGACCATGCCACCACTCCCTGCTGCTGCTGCTGCTGCTGAGGGAAAGAGACTCTCCTAAGGCCCCATGAACGAATGCACTTACACAGCCCTGGGGATGCCAGTGAAGGAAACCATGTGTCACATAACGCACGTATGACCAGAGTCACCAAACAGCACCTAAACATGGAAGTGTTGCACCTCTCTAGGACAGGCAGAAACCTAAAGAGTTAACTGGGGACTTGAGGGCAGAAGAGGCCAGAGGAGGAAAACAGATCTGAGGGGAAGAAACCGTCATATCTGGAGGGGGAAACATCTCTGCCTGCTCAGAATCAGTCGAGGGAACATGTCTCTAATCCTCTCCTGAAAGGGATGCTTTAGGGGACCTTTGCACCTCCAACAGCCTTGGACCAGAGCCGGGAAGATTCAATTATGTAAATGTTACATAGACAGATAGACAGATAGACAGATAGACAGATAGATCTCATGACTGAAATCTCTCTTTACTGTCCTCTCTGTTGCTACAGACATCAACACTTGGTAGCCAGTGTCCTGCTCAACTAAAATTCTGAGATTGCTCTCCTGTTGCTTCAGAAAAGCACACTGCTGGGGAATCTGGAGCGTGTAGGTCCTTATGGAAAGGGATCAGACCCAGAGCATTGCACTGGGAGCTGCACTCTTTGTACATCTGTGCTCAGGCAAGTTCTTCTCTTGGACATGACCACACTGAAGGTGGTAGTAAAGTGGCTGGAATCAGAAATGCAGCCCAGCCCCTCCCAGCTCCTGTGATTTTGAGGAGCAGCTGGAATGCAAGGGCATTGAGGTCCTGCTCAATTCCCAAACCCAACACACACTGATTGCCTGGGCTGCAAAAAGGCATGGGCACTACTAGGATCAAAGTAATTTGTAAGGCCATACTGGCTGGCCTGGAACCACAACAGCTCCTTCTGCACCAAGGTCCCTGCAGAGAATGATGTGTTCTCATGCAAAAATACTGCATTCTCCAGAAGTGACATCTGGGAAATTAAAATTCTAGCAGACCCAGTCCCAGTGATATAAAAGGGCAGAGAATAATGAGGAAAAGCAACTTAGTTGGGAGAAAAAGAAAATGATTAAGCCCCTTCCTCCAAGCAAACAAAAAAAAAACCAAGAAAAAAAGGGGAAAAAGTCAGTTTTAAAAGTGGCTCAAATATTTGGATGCACTGAGGAGATGCTGAAGGTCCCTCAAGAGACTCCCATTGTCCAGGCTAAAGCTCCCTCAGCACCTCCTCACTGGCCTTGTGCTGCACCCCCTTGCCCAGCTCCCCTGTCCTTCTGTGCACGCGCTGCAGCCCCTCAAGGACTTTCTGCTGCCCAGGGGCCCACAAGTGCACCCAGCACTGCAGCTGTGGCCCCAGCGCTGCCCAGCACAGGGCCACGCTCACTGCCCTGCTCCTGCTGCCCCACTGCTGCTGACACAGGCCACCATGCCCTGGGCCTTCTTGGCCACCTGGCCACACGCTGCCTCATCTTCAGCTGATCAAGGCCGCCAGCAACCCTGGCTCCTTTTGGCCCACGCAGCTCCCCTGCCACAAATTTTCCTAAAATACTTCAAGTACAGCAGACACCATTGCTCGATGTCCTTGTTTTTTTACAGCTGCATCTCCTAAGGAGATAGCATTAAATATATCAGTGTAGAATTCTCAGTCTCTCTGACTAATTTGAAATCGGGGAATTCTACTCTATAGGAAAGTGCTCTTAGTTCAGTATTCCCCTCTAGGTGCTGTCTGGAAGCGACATTCTACCTGTCAAACTGATTTTATATTTCTTCAGGGCTCTGAGGTAGAAAGTAGGAACTATCCACTTATGCTATATGTTTTTTTTGTTGAAGGCATGAAAATGGATTTTCTTTTGGCCTCCCTCTACACTCTACTGCTACTGGCCAAGCTGACAGCTGGGTCCATAATTTCTCAACACCACGAACATGAAATCTCACTCACCTCAGGATCAGCTCCACTGAATACACGCTTCAGGTGACCTGTAGTGTGCAATGGAAAATGAACCAGATGCTTTGAGGAAACTGCTTGGGCTTGTGAAACCCACAGAACAAGTCAACCCAAACAGAGATGATTTCCCATTTCACAACATCCCTCCAGGAGACGCTTTTCATTCACACAGCAAGCAATATATCTGGACAGTATTCTTGCTTGTGCCTACACTTGTGCCTGTTTTGTCAGTAAATGACTAAAAACATGATGAAGAAAATTCAAATTGTTCTTGAACACTTGGTGTTCCTCTTCTACCAAATACATAAAGCAGCTTTTTTTATCTCTCCCTCGGGTCCTTTTTTTTTTTTTTAAGTCAGTTGCATGCACTAATTCTCGTTAACTTGCTGGAAACTGTTGCCCAGAAAAGCTTCCCCAAAATCCCCGAGCTGCAGCAGTTCTGTTGTGAAACAGCACAACAGTAACTCCAGGGTTCTGGAGCAGATACTCAGTGCTTTGGAGTTTGCATTTCATTGCAAAGGGAATCTCTATTTTAGCACTCACTAAAGGATCAAGTTAGACAGTCAAATCCCTTCATGACAAAATTTTGGAAGAAAGAAGCTTTCCCTGAATTCTGGGAACAACTGCAGAGTTTTTAGAAGGCATTCCCTGAAGGTCTGCCAGTCTACATTTTCCAAGGTGTCTTGCTTGTCCCAGCAAACTGAGGAAATGACAGACTCTGCTGCCACAGACTCTCCCGTGGAGGGAACAGAAGCCCTGCAGGTTGCCTTGCAAATGCTGCCCCTGTGGCTACAGACACGCCCTTTTTAGCTGAACACCTTGACAGGAGCTTGACCAAAGCAGTGGCATCCTAATGCTCTTTCTTAGTGACTGAGCTTCTGATTTTGAAACAGAAAGAGCAGGAAGACATACAAAAGCCAGGTTAGGTTACACCCTAACCTAAGCAGAAGAGGAAACATCTACTTACGTGCGAAGTGTGTAATGAAATAGGCACCATACGTAACGCCATACGCGGCGAAAAGGACAGGTGCCAGTCGCTCCATCATTGTGATAGTGCCCTGCAAGTCTGCAGGCTGCGCTCTCACAGCAGAAAAAACGAGGCTCCTGTCAGTGTGCAAGAGGCCACTAACAAAAGCCTTGCCCAGGAGGATTCTCCTGAACTGAGCAAGCGCTAGGGCTGCTCTGACACTCAGGCCTTCCGTGCACCAAGGCACCCTTCTGATGTCACCACGACAATGTGGCAACCATGCCCTGACATCACAAAGCAAACGCTCCATGTTGCTCTGTGAGTTTTTGCCAAGCACTAACCAACCTTCCCTACAGCAAACACAAAAGAGCCTGGGAAGTTCTCCTCTGTCACAAAGCAGCACAAATTCCCCTTGTGGGCCAAAGCCTGTTGTTCAAGGGATCCAAGAGGAACTCCAAGAGTGCACAAAGCACCTACAGCCTGTACCCCATCTGAGCCCTCAGATGGGACACAAGCAAAGGAAATCACACCAAGAAAATGGGCTAAAGCATTGCCCATCTGAGAAATGAACCTTCCTTTAACTTTTTAAAGGTTTATTAAACCTTTAGAAAGGACTGAATAAGGAAAGATTGCAGCACTGGGAGTCTCCATGATTAGCAGCCACATGCTCATCTACAAAAGGGATGCTCTGCCTTTCCTCCCCTTAGCCCCTCCAAAAGTTTTGTCAGTCAACTCTTTCTCTGCTGTCCATTGGTGGAGATTACTTTCTTGCACCTTGATTGGAGGTCAGGGGTTGTTCCACCCCTCCTGCTGGTCACAAGCCAGCCCTTGTGGCTACCAAGGCTATTACAAGGGGGATAAGAAAGAGGACTGTGGGAGGACATATTACAATAACAGCACTTTCCATTTGAACATAATATCTGTCCACATAATAGCTATCTCTTAATTGTGAGAGCCAACTACTACATTACTCACCTATAATGCACAGAACCAGGAGAGAAGGCACTGTTGGCATCACAGCTGAAATCATTCCTAACATATCCCCCCACATATTTGCACATTTATTGGACATAGCCAGGACTCCTGTGGATGTACATCTCTGCCTTTCTTCCCCTTGGGAAGCAGTCAACCTGTCAACTCGTGGGGAAACCAAGGGCTTTGTGGGGGCTGCATTGCTCTGCAC